AAGAAATATAAAAAAATTAGTTATGTATAATTAAATATAAAATTATAATTGTGTATGAGCAATTTTTTTTACATTTTTCTAAATTTTTTTTTTCTGAAACAAAAATTATATCTTTATTATTTTTTACACATTACTATTATTAATACAATAGCTTGTACGATAATTTTTTTATTGCTTGCTATGTAGTTTACGGCAGCATTTGACGGTTATAGGTTTTAGGCCGTCATGTTCTTTCTCAGGTTTCTCTCTAGTTATACCGAATTTGTAGACTGGAAACAATGATCTAATTTCCCCCAAGGATTTAAATCGAATTAGAATATAAGAACTAACCAACTACAGTCGAATATTTTCCTATTACAGTCGAACGTCAGGGGAATGCTCGACTGTAGTTGGTTGGTTCTTACATTCTGATCTGATTTAAATCCTCGGTGAAAACTAAACTGGTAGTATCTCGGCGCTAAGCACATGATGGAAGGGATAACATGATGTGTGCAGTTTGTAAGCATCTCTCTTTGAATCTCCTCTGTCTTTGTCTATGAATATCGATAAAAGACTAAGGGTAAAATCACAATGCGAAAAGGACTGCAAAATAAAAAATGCATCATTGAAACAACTTAGCATTTGATATTGCGGAATAGCGAGCGTCACTGTCTTGTAATAAACTGTCGTATTTTGAAAGGTTAAAATAATTTGATGCTGATTGATATGATGGAATTACGTAATGTTAAGACGAATGAAGCAAAATGACAAAATCTGAATGCATAAATATAGATAAGATCAAAAAAATAATGATGCATTATGTGCGGTTTCAGTGTGTCCTTTTCCAACGCCAGTTTTGTGTGCTATGTTTACACGATGCGGAAAAATGATAGTAAATGCGTTAAAGCAATTCAAAAAATTGTTGAGATTGTAAATATTAATTGTAAAACATTAAATACTACAACAGGAATAATTGTTTTTACAATTTGAAAAATTATATTTCATTTTAATAAGCAAATTATTAACATAAAGTTAATAATGTTTAAATTATATTCATGAATATCTTTGACGCATCATGTGAACATAGCACACAAAACTTGAGTAATGGAAAAGTGCAGAATAGTGCTGATTGAACGCTGAATGCTTCAATGACGCATTCCGCAGTCCTATTTCGGACTGTGTGATTTCATCCTAAGGAAGCAACCAATCAGCGCTATTCCGCACTTTTCCACGCAAGTTTGTGTGCTATGTTCACATGGTACATCAAAAATGGACATTCAGGATGAATATAATTTAAACATTATTAACTTTATGTTAATAATTTGTTTATTAAAATGAAATATAATTTATCAAATTGTAAAAACAATTGTAAAAACAATTATCGCTTATAGTATTTAATATTTTACAATTAATATTTACAATTCCATGACAATTTTTTTAATTGCTTTATTTGTATTTACTATCATTTTTCCGCATTGTGTAAACAGAGTACTTTAAAATCGCACATAAAGACACATGTTCATAGTGTCGCTCATCGGTCGTATTCAGCGACAAACGAGTCACATAATTTTATATGTTGCTAATTTCGAATGTAAATGCTTATATAAATGGATTAGCAGCATCACAGCTAAAATAAAAAACAAAAAAAACTCCCTACGCAGAAGTCATTGTAATTGGTAGTGGGCAATTGCTAAGTATGTAAGTGAACCGCTCCCGGTATGTTCAGTTTGCAAGCCTTTCTATAGAAAGAGAGAGTAGTATTCATTTTGTCTTTCGGGAGCTGCACGGAGTCACTTCGAATGAACCCATCGTATTTAAAATATAGATTTTTGTAAAATGATTCTTGAAAATTTTTATTAATAAGATCATATATCTCAACTGCACTATAGTAAACATAGAGTGAGATCAAAAATGAATCAAAACAAATTTTTATTTTTCTCTTTTTACAAAAAAATCGCTCTGTACGAATCTTCAGGAATCTTTCCTGATTACGAATATCGTAATTAAAATGCGATCCATTCAATATTTCTAGCCGTAATTTCAGTATAAAAAAAATTCATCTTCGACTAGATGTTTCCACGGGTCCTCCTTAAAGGTTTATTTTCTGGAATTGATTTTCCAATTTTCGAGAAAAATTTTACTGGAAGTACATAGGACATGTAACCTATACTACAGTATATCGAGTAAAATTTTCTTCGGAAAGGACGTTTTGAAAGGTAGCCTTAAGGTTCGCGTTGCAACATGTAATATGCTCTTATCATAGCTCTTACTCATTCCAACGCGCTTAATAGAGTGAGTAGGAGCTTGATAGAGTGGTAGGAGCATGTTGGAGCATGTTGAAGCTGCGACATGAACAATGGAATCGATGTCGAATTGACATCAATTCGATAATTTTGACGTCAAATTGATTCGATTCCATTGTCATTTCTTACTGGGAACATTTAATAATTCCCCTCGTGAAACATCACGTTTTTCTGTCAGATTTTTTCATTTTAAGTGAAAACATGTCGAATAAATATATTTTTATATTTTTAAGTTTCGTGATGATGTTTGTATTCTAAATAATTATTACAATAAATAAATAAATACAAATTTCTTATCAATAAAAAAATTTGTTGCGTGTGATTTTACCTCATTTAACTCTGATTATTTTTATTTTTATTTTCAATTTTATTTATACCGACTTTTCTTTATGATCACTCAATACGTTATATCAATTTAATTATTGTACAATATTATTAAATTACTATTATTATTTA